CCCGCGTCCTGTTCTGCCACCCTGCTCTTTTCGGAGCCACTGAGCTCAGCTCACTGTGTTCTGCCATATTTGATCTTTGTTCGTTCCTGGCCAGGCCGGCTGTGACTGTGGGTGTGTGGGCTTCACGGCTGGACCCCGGGCCTGGCTGGCTCAGGCCTCACGCGTCACCCAGTCACCCAGAGCTGCCCCACCAAAGGCCTTTCTCTCCCCCCCCACCCCCCTCCCTCCCTCAGCCAGCCTGCCCTGCGCACTGGCAACTTCCTGCTGTGTCCTCTCCTGCCTCTGGGCCTCCTGCCTCTCCCAGGCAAACGCTGAAGAGACGGAGGCCAGGGAGGGGGAATGTGGCCAAAGCCTCCTAATGAGTCAGGAGCCCAAAAAGGACCATGGGCTGGGAAACGTGGCTTTAAAACCCACACCTCCGGGGGCACCCGGGAGGCTCAGTCAGTTAAGCGTCCAGCTCTTGATTTCAGCTCAGGTCGTGATATCACAGCCATGATGGAGCCCCACATTGGGCTCTGCCCTGAGCGTGGAGTCTGCTTAAGATTCTCTCCCTCACTCTCTCTATCTCCTTCTGCCCCTCCCTTGGTCATTCTCTCCACCCCTTTCTCTCTCAAAATAGAAAACAAACTTAAAAAAAAAATAAAGAAAACCCACACATCCATCTCAATAGAAACCCAGAAACGTAGTCTGTGCTGTGGCCAGCGGTCGCGTCACAGGGGTTTGTCGGGCACAAGCGGGATCTACCGTCCCAGAAAGAGCAAACCATATCAGTACGTTAGAACCTCAACACCAGTTGCTTTCTTTCATTCTATCATCGGTTTCCTCATGGCTTCGTGAAGGCAGCAATGGCAGAAAGCAACGCTAACCAGAACTGACTCCGGGTGTGGGATGTTCCACGGGGGGGGATAGGATAGCTTTATGGCTAAAGGCAAAGGCTTTGTGTCTCCCCAAGATGACCACATCAGTATGTCCCCCCTTCCACCAGTGACAATTGGCACTGTTTCACGGAGAGGCGGGATCTGTAGTCTCTCGCCTCAGACCTGGGCAGACACTGGCAAGCTCCTCAACCCACAACAATATGGTGGACGTCATGGTGTGACCTCCAAGGCTAGGCCTAAGAGGCAGCGCAGCTTCCGTTCCAGATGCCTTGGGTGGCTCCATCCGGGGCATGCCAGCCTCCATCTCCTGAGGCTGCACAACAGCCCCGCAGAGAAGGCCTCCGTCCCACAGCGACCATCAGCTTCCCGGGCACGTGAGAGGGCCATCTTAGGAGCAGACTGGACACCCCTGTCAAGTCTTCACATGACTGCGGCCCCGGCCAATTCATGACTGCAACCAGGCAAGGGGCCCCAAGAGAAAACTGCGAGGCTGAGTCCTCCTCACATTCCTGATCAACAGAAGCAGAAGTTTTTGTTTTGTTTCGCTTTGTCTTTTGAGGGAGAGAGCGTGAGAGGGAAAGCACGAGCAGCAGAGGGAGAGAGAACAATCTTAAGCAGGCCCCACGCCCAGCACAGAGCCTGATGCGGGGCTCGATCCCATGACCCTGATATCACAACCCGAGCTGGAATCAAGAGTCAGACGCTCGACCGACAGAGCCACGCAGGCGCTCCAAAACTATCTTTTTAAGCACCGTGTTTTCGGTGATTTGTTACATAGCATTAGATAACTCAAACACCATGGAAATATCCTCAACAGAAGGGTGCTACAACAAGATTTCTGTGGGAAGAACCAAGCAGGCTACTATTTATACGGTAGGTCGAATGCAGCAAGATTCGGGGCGGGACAACCAGTTATGGAAAATGGCCATAATGGCAATAATTATACCTCCTTCACAGAGACGTTGTAAATATTCTATGAGATACCAGATGTAAAGTGCCTCCCAGTGCCTGACTCAGAGTAGAGGCTCAGTAAGTAGCAATTATTACTGTTCTCACAAGGCAGGCTAGTCAAAAATATTACAAGAAGGCAGGGATGAGGGGACACAGGCCAGTGAGAGCCATTTTTTCAAGTGGATATATATATATGCTTCTCTTCCATTTATATCCCCCATCCTTTGGACGCCATATCATTTAGAATTAAGTCTGGCCCAAAGAACAGAAAGCCCAAAATAATAGTGGCTTAAGTAAGACCTAAATGCTTAGGTCTCTCTGTTGGAAGCAATTCAGGACTGTCATCTCCGGGTCCAAAATGGCTACCGGGATCCAAAATGGCTACTGGAGTCCCATCGATTACCTCCGAATTCCAGTCCCTAGGATGAAGGGAAGGACAAAGGAGATCATACTCTCTCCACTTGAGAACACTTAGTAGAAGTTGCACACACCGCTTCTGCTTGCCTCCCATTGAGCAGAACTAGGTCACACGGACACTATCTGCAAGGGAGGCCAGGAAATGTACGTAGTCCTTATCCTGTGCTGCCGTGTACACGGTCAAAAACTGTGGGTTCTGTTAAAAGAAGAGGAAGATAGACGTTGGGGAAACAGTACGCAGTTGGCCGAGGACGCCAAATAGCCTCTATAAGTCTATATATCATACGTAAGGACTTAAAAAGCCAGGTTTCCGGAGGCAATCGAGGTAGAGATTTCTACTACTCAGATTCTCTCTTTTTCATGTTTCTGAGATCTTTGGTCACTTTTTTCCATCCCAGCCACTGCTGTTCTGACCAATCTGCACGAGCCGTGACCAGCTTCTCGAGAGCTGGAGCATGCCTCCCATCTTAGACATGCACGAGCGATTTCATAGTGCCTCACGTCCAGCTTGGGGCTTCTCTACTGGGCTCTGTCCCGAGATACCTCGGGACCACATAGTGTCTACGCGATGTGTGCCACCAGAAATCAGGGGGTGGTTACTGTCTGTGGTGCAAACCTCTGACCGGTGGGAGATGGGAGATGAGTAAACTCTCCATCTCTCCCTCCTATGGAAGTGCTGTCCCGAAATGCAGTCAATTTGAATGGCACATCAAAAGATAGTCCTTCCAGATCGCATAACCCGTTGAGCTTGACCACAAGCAGGGGGCAGCTCAGTTAAGCACCGTCTTATTGGCTTTCCCTCTTTCCTGCCTCTTTCCCCCTGTTCTCTCACTCTTCTTTCCTGGGCACGGCACTCCCTGCTGGGATGATGGCACCCATGCTCTCTGCTTTCTAGGAAAACCAGATTAAGGATAAGCTAGCTTGCCAATGGCTCTCGCCTCTCCATCCAGACTCCTTCCACTTCTCTTCCCCGTTTCCTCATGGCCAGCTGGGCCTCAGAGCATCTCTTAGGGATATATACGAAACTATTACAGAACAGAAAGCCGTCTTCTGGAAGGTTCAAGGGAAGCCCTGCTTTGTCTAATGCTTCTCAATCTTTTCATCGCAGACACACTCAGCATCCCAAATTTAACAAGGTTTCTGGTTATAGCAGGTTAAAAGAAAAAGAAAAAAAAAAAAACTTTGAAAATTAAAACATGTTTGGGGTGCCCGGGTGGCTCAGTCGGTTAAGCGTCTGATTTCAGCTCAGGTCGTGATCTCATGGTTCATGAGTTTGAGCCCCACGTCGGTCTCTGTGCCGACAGCTCAGAGTCCGGAGCCTGCTTCAGATTCTGTGCCTCCCTCTCTCTCTGCCCCTCCCCTGTTCACGGTCTGTCTCTCTCTTTCAAAATAAATAAACATTAACAAAAAAGTTGGGTGTTTTTTTTTTTTAGTGCTTATCTCTAATCAGCTTCTTTCTGAAGAAAATGCAAGTGCAGAGCTCCTTTTTAATAGACTGAATTGAAATCATGAAGAAACATAGGAATAGAATCCAGACTGTTTTCCCAAAACCTTCATTCCAATTTCCCTGCCATGCCCCCCTCCCGTGAACTTGGGGTCTGTCCTTTGCTGAGGTCTTCATGCCCCCACCCCCGCCCCCGGTTGTGTCTGGGTTTCCTCACCTGTGAAACAGGGCTTATGGTAACAGCTTAGCTCTTTTCATCGGGAGCTAATCTTAATGCGACGTCAATTCTCGGGAAGGTAGACACTATCCTTGTTTCCTGAAGGGGAAAATCCACACGCATTAAAAAACATCAGGCGCCGGTTCCTTCCCTACATTTTCATTCATCAACCTACTTGTGATTTTAAAGCATTTGGGAGCCATCTGGCCAAAAGAAAATGAGTTTAATAACCAAATGGTGTTATTTTACAGGAATCACACTAAATGAGACCTTTTATTTTCTGAAGAGTAGTTGACTTAATGGGACTTGAGGGGCCAAATATTATTCTCCATGGTCCCCACAGAGGACCCCCCCCCCCCCACTGTTTGAGCAGCTGAAGTGGTAGCGAATCCAGATGTGTTTGGAAGTTCAGAATCCGATCCCGCAGTGACCGACCACACCTCTGGGACTTACAACAACTCACCATCGGTTCCATGTCGTAATCACTCCTTTCTTTTCTACAAAGGCACCACGGCATGTTGCCAAAAAAAGTTTCAAGGGCTTAATGTCATTTCAAGAGTTTTCAAAGTAAGTTCTTGAAACTCACTGGCAAAATTGAAACAACCCTGGGGGCTTGCAAATGTGGATCAGGGATCAGAGAACTCTGTTTCCGAAGAGTACGATCTTCCCCCTAAATCTTTCCTTATGTGTCTGATTTACACAACTCTGATTTCACAATAAACCTAAGTAAATAGGGGCGCCTGGGTAGCTCAGTCAGTTAAGCATCTGACTTCAGCCCGGGTCATGATCTCGGGTCATGATCTTGCGGTTTGTGAGGTTGAGCCCCGCATCGGGCTCTCTGCTGTCAGCACAGAGCCCCCGCTTCAGATCAGATCTGTCCCCTTCTCACCCCTCCCCCCCTGCGCGCTCTCTCTCTCTCTCTCTAAAAAAAAAAAAAAAAAAAAAGAAAACCTAAGTAAATAAAACTTTTTCTCTCAAAACCTGTTTTCTTAAGTCAGAATAATCGAGTCTGATGCCATCTGCAACCTGTGACTTGGGGGTTCATCCTGTCCTTCCACTTAAACGGGCCAACACAGCATTAATTTAACAAGCCATTTTCTTTGGCAATGCCCTTGCTGACACTTTTCGGATTTAAGCTGCAGGAAAATCTAAGGCAATTTTGACACCTTTGAAGAAAGCATTAACTTTACTTCTTCCTTCTCCCGGATCTAGGGAGCCCTGGAGAGTTCCTGAATTATTCCCATCGGCCGCAGCTTGCCATCTACTGACTATGTATCATTTGAAGCAAGCACAGTTATTCCAAGAAGTTATGAGCCAGCCCTAAGATAACTTTATCATGGCTTTTCGACACATTCTCGATATGATGGTGACTTCCAGGTTAGAAATTTTTGCAGCCGACCCAATCACGCGCGGGCCGTCATGGCATATTCAGAACATGTGTTGTAAACAGCAAGTTACATCACAGCTGACAGCTGAGGGTGTGCCTCGCGGGACTCATCGGGCCTCGAGAAGACAGCAGAGGGTAAAGCGGCATCGTCAAGGTTAATAAATGAGATTCAGCTCTGACTTCAAAAATTATTAGAAAAAAATTTTTTTCTCTCCTCCTCCCTTGGGTCCCTTTTGCTGGTGTCTTCCTGAACCTGAAAAAACAAATGTGTTTGCTCTTCGTAACTCCCACCCTCAACACACAGACTTGCAACTCGGCCAAATTTTCCGCTGAGCCAGCCAGCGTGGGGGACAGACACCAGGGTCCATGGCAACCACGGGCGCGCATGTGTGCGTGTGTGTGTGTGTGCGCACGTGCATTTTTCTCTCCAGCCTCCTCCAGAACCATCAGCCAACGCCGTGCACACTTCCTAAAACAGAACCCACACCTCCACCCCAGTACAAGGAACTGGGGTATAAACAAACCCTCACGGTCAAGTTCTCTCTCCACAGTCAGAACCCAAGAAGAGGCATTATTAGATCTGGATTTAAATCTGCCCTCCCAGGTCTTCATTCCCCGAGAAAGAGAGAAGGTCACCTTTATTAAATATCATGTTACAGCCTTCTGCGTGTGGGTTCTCGTGTTATTGCAGTTGTCCTGCTCTATGGGGACAAAATGCTTCCCTGTGTTTACTTAATGCCCGAGATTTGGGGATTCCAGAGACGCAGGTCCTGATTAGTCAACTAGGGTCTCCATTACACAGAGATCTCGAAAGGAAGCATTTTGGCTGTTCTCCTATCGGAAGCCGGAAGCCTGAGATGAAGTGAAATGTGCAGGTGTGGCTGTGTGGCCGGTCATTGAAAGAACCAGGGAAAGATGTGAAACGTGGGCCAAATCCCTGAGCAGAAACCACTGTGGTCTCAGCTCTGCCAGCCTCTCGCTCAGACCAGCAGCGCGACTTTCCTCGCCGTAAAACCAGGGTGCTGGGCTTGAGTTCTAGACCTTCGCAGCCTCACAGATGGGGTGACGCTCTGAAGTTCACCGGTATTTGGTCACTTTCAGGGAGTCCTACTGGAAGTCTGGGTTAATAGACAACTTGGAGGCTTAGTATTGGGAAAGCCTTGGGCCAAAGCTAAGGAAGATAACAAAGAGCCCAGAGAGGACAGGGAAAAATCTACCCATGTGAGGAGAGTCGAAAGGTTTTTTTTTGTTTTGTTTTGTTTTTAATGCAAGAAGGCCAAGTCTTAGACAAAATCAGGAAGTAGCCAGTTTATGTCCAGCTTCTGTATCATCCTTTTTTCCCTATCGGTCTGAGTTAAGGTTTAGAAATCAGTGATTTCCAAGTTAGATCAGTTTGGGAGTCACTGATTTTTTTTTTTTTTTTTTTTTTAATCAGAGGGGTATGGGTATTTAAGTCTTATTTTCAGTTGTGGAGTGAAAGCCGCCTCCCCCCACCCAGCCTCCAGCGGGAAGTGCAGGCCAGAGCCAGTGGCCCTCTCTTCCCCCCCTCCCCGCAGTGTGTGAGTGTGTGTGGTGAGCAGGAACAGGAGCCTCAGGGTTCTCAAACCTGATTTCCTAATTTCTGGTGCTGTCTTTTTGTGGGTCTTAGAGGCCTATTCCTCTCTCTCTCTCCCTCCCACTTCGTTTAACTGCTGATGTGTTCTCTATGTTCTACTCCCCCAGAGCCTACACTTTCCAGCAAGAAGCACATTCACACTTCCCGAAGCCGCATCTTGCTGAGTAATCGGGTAACCCGGATGCCCCAGGGCCCCCCCCCCCCCCCCCCCCCGTCGGAAGACCCCTTCTGGGGAACGTTCCTCCTCCCTGAAGACAGGGAGCTCTGCTGGGCAGAGAAGGCCACCCTCCTTCCCTCGGCTCTCCTGGGGAGCCCTGGGGCCCGAGGCGCTGGCACAGCAGAGAACATTAGGAGCAAGCCAGGCTCTCCCGCCTCTGTTTGTTTGCATTCCATCCGATGAGACAGCTGGCAACCCTCTCCAGCATCTCGGCTGCATGGTGAGCACTCTGGCTACGGAAGCGCCCAGAGATGATGGCGTGGAGCTCACGGGACCGGCACCTGCCTCCAGCCAGAGATTCATCCGTCCCCGGGGCACCCAGGATGTGATATCATAATCCATCCCCAACCACCCCAAAGGAATGTCCTTCTCCGTTGAGAGGAGGGTAGAGGGGAGCAAGAAAGACATGACAGCGCCAGGCACGGGGCATTTTACGCTTGTGCGAGAGGGAAGTCTTTGAATCGCCATTGGACGTGACAGCCCCGGGGTCATACACTAGCCGAGGAGTGAGCAGTGGTCACCAGCAGGGGGCGCTGGACCACTCCCGGCCCCAGAGACAGGGAGCAAATGGGAGGGTTGGGTTCCTTCCTAGCCCTGGAAGAACCTCAGCCTAGTTCCCACTCAGGTGAATCCGTGTTGAAAGGTGTGGATCGAAGGAGTGGCTAAGACAGGAGAAATCCTGAATCATACCGGGTCACTTAGCTGGGGCACTTAGCTGGCCACGTGGTGCCGTAATCGTGCACTTAGTGAGATTGTGCCTGTGCTCTGAGCCATTTCCTGATATAAAACAAATATTTGCATTTGGAGGGCTGAGTAAAGCTGCAGAATGTTCTGTAGGTTCTTCACATTTTCTCTGCAGCAACTACCAGCCCTGGAAAGCCTTGTTCGTGGCAGTCGACGCAAGAACTTTGTTTCCGTAGATAGTTTGCACTGCCAGTGACTTCATACATTAAGAATGTCCTCCCTGGCTCTCTCGCTCGTCTCCACTTGCCCTTCAGTTTTGTTTGTACAATTAGTGCCTGGACAGAATTTTCAAAAGTATCCCTCCCCAAAATCAAAGGGCCAAGGGGTTTGTGGCCCAGGAACAATCTCCTTCTCCAGCTCCAGGCCACTCCCATGCTAGCCTGGTGTTCCCCAGTTCAGAGACAGGAGCAAGCAAATGCCAGGCTGTTGGAAGTCTCAGCTGCCCGTCCTGTCTCTGCCACGGACCGGCATGCTGTGTGACCTGGGTAACTTACCTGACCTCTCTGGGCACCGGTTTCCCGACCGGTGAAACTGACGTCCAAGATCCCACCCAATGAAACGTGTAGGCTCGGATGTTCTGGATTAGGCCCAGAGCATTATGGGCTGTGGGATCAGCTCTGAGTCTGATCTGGGGTGGTGTGGGCCCCCGGGGAGCGTGTCTGCCCTGTCCTCTACCTAAGCCAGAACTCGGCCTCTGCCGGAAATGGAGCCAGTCCCCAGGATCCCCTCATGCGGGTTTTAAGTCACATTCTGGGGTCTACTAGAAAAGCAAAGGCCACTGCCAGAGACCATCCAGTCCCGGAACCCAAGGGGACAGGGAAAGAGGGGAAATTCCTCAGAGCAATTGCTTCACAGCCATTATCTTACCACGTGGCTTCCATTTTTCCAATACCCCTATCTCCAAACACACACATTCTCTCTCTCTCTCTCTCTCTCATTACAGATCACATTTCCTCTGCCTTTTGGCATTATCGGCCCTGCCTCGAATTTAATCAGCCTTTTTTTTTTTTTTCCTCTCCGTCCTGGCAATACAACCACTGGGCTTGACGCTTATACTAAAGTTACATAAGCCCTGCAGTTCAAAGGGAGCTTTGAGTCAGCAGGACAGGACTGACGAAGCATTCCCAGGTTGGCCTCAGTGGGGCCGATCCTCCAGTCCCTGTCTTGGCCTAATTCCCGTGGAGATTCAATGCGCAGTAAGAACTACAAGCTTATACGTACAATTATGAGCCAAGTATTTTAAAAGGCTAGAGGGCCAGAAATAGGAATCTGCATCTCTGTATCAGCAATTACTCTCTGCTTATTACTATAATAGCCCCATTGTCCTTGTGTCCTCCGCTCACTCCGACACAGGCAGGCAGGCCCCTCCCTCCCGTGCCCTCTTCCAGGCTCTGCCCACCGGCTGCTGCCGGGACCAAGCCCACCGCTCCTCATGGGCTAGAGCGGAAAAACGAGAGATGGGGGGGGTCGGAAGGGCTTCGTGTGTTCATCATCGCCTGCCGCGCATCACCACCTGTGTTCTTATCACTTAGCATTTTACGCAGGAAGTTCTCTTGAACAAGCACTTTACTATTAGGGGAATACAAAGAAACAGCAAGAGGTATGAGAGTGCTGAGTCATCACGGGAGGTCAGCGGGAGTGAAGTGGGGGGGGGGGGATCTGGAGAACGAGGGGAAATTTCGTCTCTGGGTGTTACCGGTGGGCTATTCTGGAGACTGGCTCC